CTGTACCAAGTTAGGGCTCTGACATAACTCTGAAGTTAAATAAATTGTGGCTTTATATGGGTTTATCAACTTTTTTTGTCTAGGCTTATCTACTTTTCTTTGTTTTTTTTTCTTCCTCTCCTGGGAAAAATACTTCTGGATGCTTTAAAAAGCTCATTGGGAGCCAGATGCTGGTGACTCAGGACTATAATCCTAGCTACTCAGAAGGATGAGATCTGAGGATTGTGGTTCAAAGCCAACTGGGGCGTGAAAGTTTGTGACTTTTTTTTTTTTTTGGTCATGGGGCTTGAACTCTAGGCCTGGGTGCTTTCCCTGAGCTACTTACTTAGTTCAAGGCTAGTGCTTTACCACTTGAGCCACAGCGCCACTTCTGCCCAGTAGCTTCAAACCATGCCCCTCAGATCTTAGCCTTCTAAGTAGTTAGTGTTACAGGTGTGAGGACGCCCAGTTTACTTTGTGCATTGGACATGTGTGTGGTGATTATGTAAAAGATGTTCTTGGGAGATACACACTGAACTACTTAGGAGGAAAGGATCTTACTGCTCTATGTGAGAGAGAGAGAGAGAGAGAGAGAGAGTGTGTGTGTGTGTGTGTGTGTGTGTGTGTGTGTGTGTGTGTACACTCAGCGAATAGTACTTCATTCTTTATAATCAGCTGAAAAGAGTGTGTCGGAGCAAGTTTGCTAGGCAAGGAAGTTCAGATAACTTGTGTGTGAGAGGGGCTGCTCTGCAAGACTAGCCTAAAGAAATCTGCAAGTCTGTGTAGCTGTTGTGTTTGATCTAGTGGGAATGGAATTGGTTTTCAACCAAGAGAGTATCCAGAAGGAAGATTACTGATGTATGTAGCAGCTCACTATGTTAATGGCTAGAGAGTAGAGTGCATCCAGAGGTGCAGAGTAAAGAAGGCTAAGACCTTTGAATGCCGAGGTCTCTTTCTTTTGGTCTTGTATGCTGTATAAGCTCAGGAGCTTGAACTTCACAGACATGATGGATATGTTAGGATGCTTTCAGCTGCAATTAGGGTAAACTCCAGCTAAAGTGGCTTAAGCCCCAGTAAGTATATTTTCCCGCATAACAAGAAGTTGGAGGAAAGTAGAAAGGTCCAATGATTAAACAGTGTGGCAGATGCCAGGCACCTGTGGCTCACGCCTGTAATCCTAGCTACTCAGGGGGCTGAGATCTGAGGATCACAGTTCAAAGCCAACCTGGGCAGGACTCTGTTCTCCAATAAACCACTAGAAAACCGGAAGTGGCTCTGTGGCTCAAGCTGTAGAGCACTCGCCTTGAGCTGAAGAGCGCAGGGACAGCGCCCAAGCCTAGAGTTCAAGCCCCATGACCGACCCAACCCCCCCAAAAAAAACAGTGCAGCAGCTTTACTACCTTGTGTTGGGTTTTGGGCTTTTCCCCCCTTTTTCTGTGGCCATCCTTAGTGTGAAAATGGTTGAAGATCCTCTCATGGCTACGAGGTGGGGGTGCTCCAAGCCCATAATAAAACCTGGTGATGAAAAGGAGATTTCTTTCTGAGCATAATGTACTATTAGAAAAAACCTTTTCCCGAATGATTTTGGCTGACAGATGTTCAGTTCCCCTCAGCCTCCTGCGTCTTCTGCACAGGGAAGGTAGTCATGGTGTCTGGCTTACTTGATCATGCTGTCCAGTGGCCAGGAAAGGCTCTGCTCTTTCTCAGGAAACTTCTGAGGCAGCTACCTTTAAACCACACAGGTTTGTCAGCAGTGAAAGAGAGATGTTAGATAGCAGACAGGACATGGTCTGTTCCCCTGAAAGCACTTTTACATTTCTAAAGGGGGGAAGTGATAGAGTAGATGGATATATTAAAATTTAAGAAGCCACACGTGCCCACTCTCTTACTATTACACTAATATGACCAATTGCATTAATTTATTTTTATTTTTTTGGCCAGTCCTGCGGCTTGAACTCAAGGCCTGGCACTGTCCCTGAGCTTCTTTCTGCTCCAGGATAGCTACTCTACCACTTGAGCCACAGCGCCACTTCCAGCCTTTTCTGTGTATGTGGAATGAGGAATCAACCCAGGGCTTCATGCATGCTAGGCAAGCACTCTACCACTGAGCCACCTTCCCAGCCCCTAATTTTATTTTTAACATGTTATATTCCCGCTATTGCTCTAATCTTACTCTCCATTTGCGTACATATTCCTTTTGCATGTTTTTCTATAACATACACATCTTTGCTTCTTTTCTCCAGTCATACTTACTTAACACATACAGTATTCTATATCTGACAATTGGTTAAGCCTTCTGTTATTAAATAACAGTAATAGTAAAAGTTGATGCTTAGCACTGCCTGTTTTCAGTGTTTTTTGTTCATTAGTATATTTAGTTTTCACACTGCCATATTACCATCACTAGCTTCCAGATGAGGAAAAAGTCTGTCACAGAAAGGCCAAGTAACCTACTGGAAGTAAGTAGGGAGTTAAAGACAAAGCAAGGGTTCAAGCGTAGGCAGCCCTAGACTAGTCTGTATCTGTCAGACTAAACTGACTTGGGGTATTTACTATTTCTTTCCATGTCACAGATAATACCATTGTGAGCATAGTTCTGCAGACCTTGTCCTTGAATGTGCATGTGCAGCCTGATCAGTGTATGTTGAGGGCTACATAGAAAGGGACTACAGACGACACAGACATAAATCAGAAAAAATGAGTTGGAAGGATGATCTGGGTTTTTTGTTTTTTGTTTGGGTCATTCATGAGGCCTGAACGCTGTGCTTGGGCGCTGTCCCTCAGCTCTTCAGCTCAAGGCTAGCACTCTACCACTTGAGCCACAGCGCCACTTCCGGTTTTCTGGTGATTATTTGGAGATAAGAGCCTCATGGACTTTCCTGCCCAGGCTGGCTTTGAACCGTGATCCTCAGATCTCAGCCTCCTGAGTAGCTAGGATTGCAGGTGTGAGCCACTGGTGCCCAGCTGGATAATCTGTTTTGTTTACTGTTTTATTTTCTTTTGGGCTTATCTACTTATATGCTCTGTCCATTTTTACTTGGGAGATATTTGTTTTTCATCCTTCTATATAATTGACTCTTATTCATTTCATATAATACAGATGTCTTTGCTCGTATTTTAGTTTCTTTTTTTCTCTTTCTTTCTTTCTTTCTTTCTTTCTTTCTTTCTTTCTTTCTTTCTTTCTTTCTTTCTTTCTTTCTTTTCTTTTCTTTTCTTTTCTTTCTTTTGTCATGGGGGCTGAACTCTGGGCCTGAGCGCTATCCCTCAGCTCTTCAGCTCAAGGCTAGCACCCTACATTTGAGTCACAACTCCACTTCCAGCTTTTTCCTGCTTATGTGGTGCTGAGGAATCGAACCCAGGGCCTCATGCATGCAAGGCAACCACTGTACCACTGAGCCACCTTCCCAGCCTCACTATTTTGATTTCTATGTGTATAATTATTATCAGCAGCCTTAACATTTTGAGAAATCACTAATCTCATTTTCTATTATGGCCAGAAACTTGTAAATGTGCAATCGTTTAAGGCTGAACATTAATTTTTCCAAATTGCTACTCATGTAACCTGTTCAGTCACTTCTTTTACACACCGTGTGTGTGTGTGTGTGTGTGTGTGTGTGTGTGTGTGTGTGTCTGTGTGTGTGTGTGTGTCTGTGTGTCTCTGTCTGTCTCGTGGGGCTTGAACTCTGGGCCTGGGTGAATTTTTCCAAATTGCTAGTCATGTAACCTGTTCAGTTACTTCTTTTACACACCGTGTGTGTGTGTGTGTGTGTGTGTGTGTGTGTGTGTGTGTCTGTCTGTGTCTGTGTGTCTGTGTGTCTGTGTCTCATGGGGCTTGAACTCTGGGCCTGGGCGCTGTCCCTCAGATCTTCAGCTCAAGACTAGGACTCTACCACTTGAGCCAAAGCATCCCTTCTGATTTTCTGGTGGTTTCCTTCCCGGGCTGACTTGGAACCAGGACCCTCAGATCGCGGCCTCCTGAGTACCTAGGATTACAGGTGTGAGCCATTGATGCCTGGTTACACACACATTTTTTTGTGCCCATCCTAGGGCTTGAACTCAGGGACTGAACACTGTCTCTGAGCTTCTTTTGCTCAAGGCTAACACTCTGCCACTTGAGCCACAACTCCACTACTGGGTTTTTCTGTTTATGTGGTACTGAGAAATCGAACCCAGGGCTTCATGCATGCTAGGCAAGCACTCTACCACTAAGCCACCTTCCCAGCCCCACACATCCATTCTTTTTTTTTGTTTTGTTTTCTGTCGGTGGTGGAGCCTGAACTCTGGGCCTGGGCCTTGGCTTTGTCCCTGAGCTCTTCAGCTCAAGGCTAGCGCTCTACCATTTGAGCCACAGTGCCACTTCCGGCTTTTTCTGCTTATGTGGTGCTGAGGAATCAAACCCAAGGCCGCATGCATGCAAGGCATGCGCTCTACCACTGAGCCGCCACCTTCCTAGCCCCCACAACCATTCTTAAAAAGTATCTTAGCATTTAATTTAATGAGTTTTTGACCTTCCCCAGACCTATTTGTATACCTGAGCTTTTCCTCACACCACATTTATTATTTTAGGAAATGATAAAGTATAGTAGGGCTGACCCCCTTCTCATCTTTGTTTAACTATTTCCATTTTTTTGAGCTTAAAAATATTTTTATTAAAGTTTTGAAACATTTTGACATTGCTCTTAAGATATGCTAGTATTGGGCTGGGAAGGTGGCTCAGTGGTAGAGTGCTTGCCTTGCATGCATGAGGCCCTGGGTTCGATTCTTAAGCATCACATAAGCAGAAAAAGCCAGAAGTGGCGCTATGGCTCGAGTGGTAGAGCACTAGCCTTGAGCTGAAGAGGTGAGGGACAGTGCCCAGACCCAGAGTTCAGGCCCCATGACTGGCCAAAACAAAACAAAAAAGATCTGCTAGTATTTTGTATTAAATGTCCCATTAGGGTTAAGATCGTAGTAATATATCACAGTTGGAGAGCTATTATGATTGTGTAGTTTCTCATTTCCATTTCTGTTTTAATTTCTAGATTTTGGATCATTGTTTGACTTGGAAAATGATCTTCCTGATGAGCTGATCCCCAATGGAGGAGAGTTAAGCCTTTTAAACAGTGGGAACCTGGTTCCAGATGCTGCTTCCAAACATAAACAACTGTCGGAGCTTCTTCGCGGTGGCAGCGGCTCTAGTATCAACCCAGGAATAGGAAATGTGAGCGCCAGCAGCCCTGTGCATCAGGGCCTTGGTGGCCAGGCTCAAGGGCAGCCGAATAGTACAAACATGGCCAACTTGGGTGCCATGGGCAAGAGCCCTCTGAACCAGGGTGATTCATCAACCCCTAACTTGCCCAAACAGGCAGCCAGCACCTCGGGACCCACCACCCCAGCTTCCCAGGCACTGAATCCGCAAGCACAAAAGCAAGTAGGGCTGGTGACTAGTAGCCCTGCTACGTCGCAGACTGGACCTGGGATCTGTATGAATGCTAACTTTAACCAGACCCACCCGGGCCTTCTCAATAGTAACTCTGGCCATAGCTTAATGAATCAGGCCCAACAAGGCCAGGCCCAAGTCATGAATGGATCTCTTGGGGCTGCTGGCAGAGGAAGGGGAGCTGGAATGCCTTACCCTGCTCCAACTATGCAGGGAGCCACTAGCAGTGTGTTGGCTGAAACCTTAACACAGGTTTCCCCGCAAATGGCCGGCCACACGGGACTGAACACAGCGCAAGCAGGAGGCATGACTAAGGTATGTAAACTGAAGTGATTGAACTGGCTTTTTGTTTGTTTGTTTTGTTGTATATGTTACTGAGGACTTGACCCCAGGTCTTCATGCATGCTAGGCCAGCACTCTACCACTAAGCCACATTCCCAGCCCCTCAGAGGCATTATTCTCTAAGTAACATGCTCTGTTGTCCCTCTTGTTGGTCTTTGTACATGACATGCATATGTGGAAGAGCTCCTCTTTTCATGATAAAGATTTCTGCCCATATCTTTAAAATGATAGTGCTTTGTTGTTGCTCTTGGCGACTGGAAACTGTGTGACACAGCCTGGCCTCAAACTTGTTTCCTGCCTCAGACTTCCAAATGCTAGGATTATAGGCATGTACCACTGACCTTCAATTTTTAACCCAAAGAGCATGTGTAAAAATAGGGAACTTGAAAGAGGCAACTTCTGCCAAAAATAAGCCTTTTAGTGCATTAGTTTGTAGATCTGGTAATGAATGCTTTATACTTTATGCATTTGATAGAGTACTTTCTTGTGTGTGTCTTTTTTTTTTTCATCTACCTGGGAATATTGTTTACTGTTCCTGTCCATTTTTACCCAAGATGGTTAGTTATCTGCTCCTTTAACACAGGAGAAAGGTTGGACAGAGCCATGGATATGTGGGTCCTTGGGTCTCATTAGAAAGACCACAGCAGTGGTTCTCAAAGTACCCTTAGGCTAGCAGTTTAGAGTCACCTGGGAGCTTGTTGGGAAGGCAGACGTACTAACTTAGAATCTTGGGGTGCAGCCTGGAACTCTGAGCTTTAAGAAGCCTCTGGGTGATTGTACAACCCTGCAAGGCCTGGAGCTATACTCTGGGGAATAGTCTGGGCTGGGATTTACATCCACTAAGGAAAGACAGATGCCAAGACAGATAGGAGAAACTGAAGAAAATGGAACCTGACATAGGAGAAGAGTGAGGAAAAAGAAACACAGGCTGATTTGCCAGTAAAGTAAAAAACCCTGCAGAGATTCTGCAACCCAAGGCTTACAAATGATAGCCACGGTGGACCTTTTTCAGTGCAATTTAGCCAAATCCAGACTGTTAGGACTGTTCTTTGAATTTGATTATTCTCAAGAAGAAGGGAGAGGTAAGAGTAGAACACAGTTTCTCCTTCAGGTGGATTGAGAACATGGGTGACTGGTACGGAGCCCCATGACTTTCTTTTTTACTTAAGTACGAGAGAAGTCCCACATTGTGATTGAGTTTATCTTTTGAAATGGAAGTAGTGGGGAATGCAAACATAAATTTTAATGTTACCTGTTATTGGAAGAAGAGTCTGGGGTGAGTGGGTGGCACTGATCATTTTAGAGTATGATTGAAAGGGTTTATACCTCCTGGGTATGTGGACATTTCTACACTCTTAAGTCATCACTCTACTCCACACTGTGGAGTAGAATTTGGAGAACTTAAATCAGACATAAAAGGAGACATAACTAGCATAATCCAGTAGTTTTCAAACTTTTTGCTCTCAGATTCTTTTTTTTTTTGCCAGTCATGGGACCTGAACTCAGTCTGGGCGCTGTCCTTCAGCTCTTCAGCTCAAGGCTAGCGCTCTCCCACTGGAGCCATTTCCAGCTTTTTCTGTTTATGTGGTGCTGAGGAATCGAACCCAGGGCCTCATGCATGCAAGGCAAGCACTCTACCACTGAGCCACCTTCCCAGCCGCGCTCTCAAGTTCTTGAATAATCTTGGATACCTGAAGGAGATTTCTTTCTTTCTTTAATTTTATTTTTTTTTGGGCCGGTCCTAGGGCTTGAACTCTGGGTGTGGATTCTGTCTCTGAGCTTCTATTGTTCAAGGCTAGTGCTCTACCACTTGAGCCATAGCACCACTTCTGGTTATCTGGTGACTGTTTGGAGATAAGAGTCTCACAGACTTTCCTGCCTTTGAACCGCAATCCTCAGATCTCAGCCTCCTGAGTAGCTAGGATTATAGGTGTGAGCCCCTGGCACCCAGCTCAAGGAGATTTATTTAAAATCAGTATTTATACAGCATTTTAAAACACATTAGCTGTCAGGCTCACTGGCATTGACATACCACACAGGGTCTGAAGAACTCCACTGCTAGTTGGAAATCATGTCATGTTTTGTACTGAAGTCAGTTATTCTTTATAGTGTCGCAGTAGTAACCTGTTGCAGTAGTAACCTAATTTGTGTCTGTTGTAATTTATAGGACATGAGCCCTTTACGCTAAACGGACTATTTTCAGTATTTTGGTATTGTCACAGTTTTGTTTCACACCTTCTTACACACATTTTTTTGTACAATTGAGTGAATGCTGAAAAATTCTTGAAATTGGGATTTTTGTATTAAAGGATTTTGACATTTTAAATTGAAATAGATCTTACCAAACACTTCACAAAAATATTGTGCCAATTTCACCCTTACCAAGAGTGAATAGCCCCTGCCTAAATTTTTAACAATATTAGATACTGTTAGATAGAGGTTTTCTTATACTTGTCATTCTTTCAGGCAATCTGTCCTTGCTTGCTTGCTTGCTTTTCTTTCTCGCTTTCTCTTTCTTTCTCCTTCTTCCTTTTCTTTCTCTCCTCCCTCCCTCCTTTCCTCCCTCCCTCCCTCCCTCTCTCTCTCTCTTTCTCTCTCTCTCTCTCTCTCTCTCTCTCTTTTTGTTTGGGTCCGGTCGTGGGGCCTGAACTCAGGGCCTGGGCGCTGTCCCTCAGCTCTTCAGCTCAAGGCTAGCACTCTACCACTTGAGCCACAGTGCCACTTCCGGCTTTTCTCTTTTTGCTTATGTGGTGCTGAGGAATTGAACCCAGGGCCTCAGGCATGCAAGGCAAGTGCTCTACCACTGAGCCAACTTCCCAGCCCTCTCTTTCTCTCTTTCTCTCTCTCTTTCTTTCTTTCTCTTTCTCTCTCTCTCTCTCTCTCTCTCTCTTTCTTTCCTTCCTTCCTTTCTTTCTTTTTCTTTCCTTTCTTTCTTTGTAATAGGGCTTGAACTTAGGGCCTAGGCACTGTCCCTCAGCTTTTCAGCTCAAGGCTAGCGCTCTGCCTCTTGAGCCACAACACCACTTTCAGTTTTCTGGTGGTTTATTGGAGATAGTCTCATGGACTTTTCTGCCAGGGCTGGCTTTGAACTGATATCCTCAGATCTCAGTCTCCTGAATAGCTAGGATGACAGACATAAGCCACCAGTGCCTAGTGAAAAGACATTCTTTTTTTTTTTTTTTTTTTTTTGATTGTGGGGCCTGAACTCTGAGCCTGGGCTTTGGCTTTGGCTTTGGCCCTGAGCTCTTCAGCTTAAGGTTATCATTCTACTACTTTAGCCATAGTGCCGCTTTTGGCTTTTTCTTACGTGGTGTGAGGAATCGTATTCAGGACCTCATACATTCAGGTCAGGCACTCTACCACTGAGCCACCTTGCCAGCCCCGAAAAAGATACTCTTTTTTTTTTCTTGGTCGGTCGAGGGGTTGAACTCTGGGCCTGGGCGCTGTCCCTCAGCTCTTCAGCTCAAGGCGAGTGCTCTACCACTTAAGCTACAGCGCCACTTCCGGTTTTCTAGTGGTTTATTGGAGATAGGAGTCTCACGGTCTCTCCTGCCCGGGCTGGCTTTGAACCGAGATCCTCAGATCTCAGCCTCCTGAATAGCTAGGATTACAGGCGTGAGCCACCGGCACCTGGCAAAAATATATCTTTTTGTTTTTTTCCATAGTGCTTTTTTGTTGTTGTTGTTGTTGGTCCTAGAGCTTGAACTCAGGGCCTGGGCAACTGTCCTTGAGCGTCTTTATGCTCAAAGCTATTCTCTGGGCTCTACCACTTGAGCCACAGCATCATTTCTGGCTTTTTGTGTTTATGTGGTGCTGAGGAATTGAACCCAGGCCTTCATGAATGGGAGACAAGCACTCTACCACTAAGCCACATTCCCAGCCCAAAGATATTCTTTTTTTTGGGGGGGGGTGGGAGGGTCTGGTTGTGTGGCCTGAACTCTGGGCCTGGGGACTGTCGCTCAGCTCTTTAGCTCAAGGCTAGCACTCTACCACTTGAGCCACAGTACTTTTTTCTTTTTGCTTTTGTGGTGCTGAGGAATCAAACCCAGGGCCTCAGGCATGCAAGGCAAGCGCTCTACCACTGAACCACCTTCCCAGCCCCCCAAAGATATTCTTAATAAAGACAAATTGCAGCCAGGCACCTGTGGCTCATGCCTATCATCCTAGCTACTTAGGGGCTTGAGATATGAGAATATCGGTCCAAAGTCAGCCCAGACGGGAAATCTAGGAGACTCCTCTCCAGTTAACCACCAAAAATCTGGGAGTGGAACTCTGGCTCAAGTGGTAGAGTGCTGTCCTTGAAGAAAAAAACAACTCAGGGAGGCACCTAGGCCCTAAGTTCAAGCCCTAGGACCAGCACACACACACAATGTCTTTTCATAAATTTATGAGTAGCTGGTTTTGCTAATTGCTTATATTCTTTGTGATCCTCCTGTTTCAGCCTCCTGAGTGCTGGCATTATCAGTGTGCATTATTATACCAGATGAGAAGACATTCAAAATAGAAAAAATACAAGCCATTTCAACAAAATTAGATGTATTTTTTTAGGAGTATGTTCTAGTTTTCTACTGAAAATAACCCAAACACTTGGCTTGTAGTTTGAAAGAAAAAAAGATCAGCGTAAGTGGGATTTAGAAGCTATACACACTTAAATTAGCTTTCTTTTGCTGAGAGATACTGCACTGCATGGGTAAGATGGCTGGTATAAAGAAGAAAGTATTGTGAGGTTATTTGGCCAGGTGATCCAAAATCGTTCTGATTTAAAGGCTGATTAAACTTTGGTTTAATGACCCACACTTGTAATCCATTCAAGAGGCAGAGATAGGTTTGCCATTCAAGGCCAATTTGGGTAAAAAGTTTAGGAGAACTCTTATGTCAACTAAGCTGAGAGAGATGATGCATGCCTGTGAGCCCAGCTACACAGAAACAGAAGTAGGGGCTGGCCCCGGGCAGAAGCCCAGGACCCTCCTTGA